CTTTATTTTTTTTAAAAAGCCCCCCCCCCCCCCCTCACCCACTCATTCATGCAAAAAACTATTTTATGACTTCTATTATATGTCATATTACCTACCATATATAGTCTTTCAATATAATATTTTTATTAGTTTTATTTCTGTTACGATTTTCAAAATGAGAAGCACTTATTAAATAATAGGAATAGGAAATAATAAAGCGTTCATATTCAAATGTACAAATCATGGAGACACTACATTAAAAATAATCTTCAGCGATAATTAATTAACTACAGATATAAATATAGAGAGACTTACCGGTCGAGTTTTTCGGCTGAGGCCAAAATTAATGAAAAAAGAGGCAAAAATGGAAAGAAAAATATTACTTCCTATTTTTCGAAAACCTGAAAAATAAAAAATAAATTAGTAAAAAAGTTAATGGTGATATTCACTTGTCATTAAATGGTACACAATGGGTGCTATAAAGTGGATGTAAGATTTTTAAGATTTACTAAATTCTAGTCCACATATTACTATTGATTTCATTTATATGTATTCAATTATACAATTATTTTGTACTTTTTTTAGGAGCCACATATTCATTAAATTGAAACAAAAATCTCTAGTGTCAAATTAGTAGGTTGGTGAATTAGAAAATGTCAAAATCGATTAAGTTAATCAAAGACGAGTTATTGACTTGCTTAAATGTTACTTGACATGAAACAAATTGGGTTAGAATGAGCGAAAAAAACTGGTTATAACCCGCTTTATTCTTACCATTTATATTCAAAATTTGATTTCTTATAATTTGTCTGAGTACCTAATAAAAATAATTCCCTTATATTATGACCATATGAAAAATATCTTGTAAAAGTATTTAAACAAATTTTCTCGTTAAGTTAATTTTGAGTTGCATATCACTCATGTTTAATCTAAGGAGATAAAATGAGCATATTATTAACCCACCTAAATCTAAATAAATTAGGCGAATTATGATTTTATAGGTTGATTTCGCCAGCTAATGAAAAAAATAAAAAGTACTCTAGTAACTCTATAATTCCGGAACTAATTATAAAAACCCTAAGTATTTTCATTATACCAAACAACTTCACACTCCAATTTTCCTCCACAAATATTTTCTCCAATTATTTACCACAAACTTTTATTGTCATGGAGAAACGCACGATTCCTTTGAGGCAAACAAGAAATGGGACTCTTCTCTCCACTTATTCATGAGCAATGCAAATCGTAAAAAAATGTTCGATCTATATACATAGTATAATTTTCAGACAAGAATGTTCAAATCGATAGATATAGAAAAAATAAAAATACCTTGATAAGTTTCCCAAGGGTAAATAATTCCATTGTTATCGATATCGAAGAACATAACATGTTTTTGTAGAGGAGTTGGTTCACTCTTCGTAATTCCTGTATATAAAATTATAATTAGATGAACTATAACTCATCAAATTAATCGATCTCGATTGATATGAAAATTATAAAACATGTAACATGAGTAGAACAAAAAAAAAAAATTAAAAATTTTGCATACCTTCTTGGTGAATGTTGTTGCAGGAAGCCATATTTAAAAGTTTGGTTATTAGAATAAAATAATGAATAGAGAAAAGAAGATATAGAAGAGAGCAATAAGAATATGGAAGAATAAAGCAAGTATATATAGAAGTTGATGTGTATTATACAACTTGGAGAAGTATACTATATATAATTATCACTCCTTCCTCCCAAGGACAGATCTAGGATATCGGGTGCGGGTTTTTGGAAATTTAATAATTTTTGGGCAAATTCTATTTTTATATTGAGAGATTTATTTTCTCCGTCTAATAATAGTTGTTCGCTATACTATTTTGGCTATACTATTTTGGGATGTCCAACAATACTTGTCCACTTTATGAAATCAATAGATAGTTTTACGCTTAGTTCCTAATTTACCCTTATCATTAATTAGAGTTAGTTATCTATTACATTTTCAAGACATTTATTATATTCAAAGGGTGATATAGTAAAATTATCCTTCTATTTATAATTTCTTAAAAATTGTACAAAGTCAATAGTAAATAAGTATTGTTGGACAGAAGGAGTATTAAATATGTAAGAAATATTTGTTAGGAATCTAATAATTTGCCTCAATTTGTTTGTCCTATTTTGATTTGACAATGGAGTTTGAGATGTTTGTCATGTTTGACTTGACATGAATTTTAAGAAAGTAAAGAAGATTTTTAAATTTTGTAGTTGGAATTAAAGATATTATCAAATGTACTAAAATATTATTTAATATTTCGGTCTTAAACATGTCACGTGAAAAGTTAGAATTACAGAGTTGTCATAAAAAACATTTTTATTGAAATGATTTTTTTTTAAAAATAGAACAAATAAACTAAAATAGAAAAATGTACTCCCTATGTCCTTTTCTACTTGTCCAATTTTGACTTTTTATTTGTCCCTTTTTACTTGTCATTTTTGACAAATCAAGAAAAAAATAATATTTTTTACCTATTATACCCTCAATTTATTTAGAGATTTAATGTTTTGAAAAAAAAGGTAAAACCTCTTTAATGAAAAAATTAATTTATCAACTAATAGAGACAAAATGATAAACTCATTGTGTTAATTTTTTTTAATAAATGAACTTCAAATTTCGAATAGTTAACAAAAATAATAATTATTGACAAGATATGATGAATGTATTTTTTGAGACGAAGTGTATTATCCGACCCCATTTATTGTAACAAAAAATGACAAGTAGGTCTACTATTTTTTGCAGGAAGAGTTTCAGCCTTTGTTGCCCTTTTAGAGCGAATTTAATTAGCAATTTGACAGGACATAGAGATCTAATTCATCAATTTAAATCTCAAAAGTGCACGATTGATAGCGTCAATTCAAATTAATCAAATTAATAAATTTCATATTTCAAATGGTTAATAAAAATTAATAGGTGGCAGACACGGGCTACAATAATAGGTTACGCGTTCGATACACATGTTCTGGCCTTGTGTGTTCATAACTCAAAATAATGATAAAGTCAAGGGTGACTTCAAAGCAAAATTGGCTGGTTGTGAGCAAAAAATAGTTATCTTTAACTCGATCTTCCTTATTACTAATTATTAATAAGGCAAAAGGAAAGCATTATCCTTATAAAACTGTTGCTAAGCAAAAAAAATCTTTATGTATAAATTCGGTAAAACCAGCAATGCAACTACTGTCTTTTCTCTCTTTCACATCTGGAATTTAGAATCTTTCTTTATAAAAACTTAATTTAATTTTATTTTCATCTCTTTATTACCTTTTCCCTTCTTTTTTTTTTATATATATTAAAAAAACTTTGTTGATTTTTTATCATTTTTCTAAAAAATATAGAGCATGTGTTAGATGCTTTGTTTTATATGTGTGTGTCTCCATGTGTGTACGGTACTTTTAAAAAATAATATAAAATATAAGGTGAATATTAATTATTTACAATTTTTATTTGTAGCTTAATTCATTGCATTTATAGTGATCTAGTTCTTTGATTTTACATTCTCGTTTATTTTGTAGTACTAGAAATAAGTGCCGTGTAAGCATGAGCCCAATATATATTATCTTATTGATTTTAATATATGTGGCACGTATTTAAAGAGTTAATCAAGTTTTTAAATATTTTAAGTTGAATTGTTGTGATTTATAATATTATTAACGTAAATTTCGAATAATATATGTTACTCGCTTTATCCTAATTTATGTAGCACATGAGAAACTTTGAGAGTCAATCAAATTTTTAATACTCCATCCGTTTTAATTTATGTGACACTTTTTGGATTTCGAGATTCAAACAAGTTTATCTTTGATCATGAATTTTTTATATATCTTTTAATTATTTTGAATTGTCAATTATTGTGACTTATAGTACTTTTTACGTAGTTTACAAATATATAAATTTCATTTCAAAAAATTGAAGATTCCACACGCAAATTTCCGATTAAACTTAAATTGTTTGACTCTTGAAAATGGAAAAGTGTCACATAAATTGTGGCAGAGGGAGTATGTTTTTTAAATATTTTAAGTTGTTAATTATTGTGATTTTTAATTTTATTAATTAATGTAATTTTAAAAATAATATATGTTGCTTTGTCGTAGTTTATGTGGCACATGTGCAATTTGGAGAATTAACCAAATTTAATATGTTTTTAAACATATTTTTAAGTTGTTAATTATTGTGATTTTTAGTACTTTACACGTAATTTTCAAATAATATATGTTATTCTCTCTGTCCAAATTAATGTGGCACATGTGAAATTTCGTGAGTTGATCAAATTTTTAATATATATTTTTTTATATTTTATTTTGTTAATTATTGTAATTTTTTTTTTTTTTGTAATTTATAAATACATAACATACTAAAAAGAAAAATAAGACAAATAAATTAAAACAAAGAAATTATTAAATATGAATAGAGGACAAGTGCAAATCGGGACCGACTGACCCTAAACTCTTATATTCGCTTCTATATTATAGAGAGTAATTTATCATGATATATCGAATAATCTATTTCATGTTACTATAAAAAATATATAAAATTTATCTTTGAGTTATACAATTATTCACCATAATTTAATTTAATCATCATCAAGGTATTTAGGTAAAAGATAACTCTTTAATTTTCAACCTAAAAGTGCAAATCGGGACCGACTGACCCTAAACTCTTATATTCGCTTCTATATTATAGAGAGTAATTTATCATGATATATCGAATAATCTATTTCATGTTACTATAAAAAATATATAAAATTTATCTTTGAGTTATACAATTATTCACCATAATTTAATTTAATCATCATCAAGGTATTTAGGTAAAAGATAACTCTTTAATTTTTTACCTAACCAATTTATTGTAGAAATTTTCACGATCAATGATTGGACACTGCAAACCGCAAAAAAAAAAAGTATTATAAAATTTTAATAATTGAAAATTGGTAAGTTCTTAGACGATAAAATACGATTTTCTAGTTGAAAGCTACATATATCTTTAATTTAATCATCATCAAGGTATTTAGGTAAAAGATAACTCTTTAATTTTCAACCTAACCAATTTATTGTAGAAATTTTCACGATCAATGATTGGACACTGCCAAATTTTCGCGATCAATGATTGGACCATGCAAACCGCAAAAAAAAAAGTACTATAAGATTTTAATATTTAAAAATTAGTAAGTTCTTAGACAATAGAATACGATTTTCTAGTTGAAAGGTAAATATATCTTCTTTAAAACGTTGTAATTAATTTGATAGTGCCATCTAGGACCATAGTCATTAGAATATGTACTTGGTACTGTATATCACATATTTAATTTCAGAAACGGACAAAAAAAAGATCACTAAAAACTCGATTTAATTGATTATGCTGCTTATTAAATCGATTCAATTGATTTGATTTTTTTAAAAGAGAAAAATCTATTCAAATTGAATCATAAACAACGTCCCTAACTAAAACTATTGTTAAAAGTAAATTGAAAAAAATATAGTATTAAAAAGGAATTTAAACCTCAATGCACAAGTGACCCAAATATAACTAGCGATCAATGATTGGACCATGCAAACCGCAAAAAAAAAAGTACTATAAGATTTTAATATTTAAAAATTGGTAAGTTCTTAGACGATAGAATACGATTTTCTAGTTGAAAGGTACATATATCTTCTTTAAAAGTAGTAATTAATTTGATAGTGCCATATTGGACCATAGTCATTAGAATATGTACTTGGTACTGTATATCACATATTTAATTTCAGAAACGGACAAAAAAAAGATCACTAAAAACTCGATTTAATTGATTATACTGCTTATTAAATCGATTCAATTGATTTGATTTTTTTAAAAGAGAAAAATCTATTCAAATTGAATCATAAACAACGTCCCTAACTAAAACTATTGTTAAAAGTAAATTGAAAAAAATATAGTATTAAAAAGGAATTTAAACCTCAATGCACAAGTGACCCAAATATAACTATATAAATCGTTCATTTGAATTTAACTTATGTACATTGTAGTTAAAGTATTATATAATATTGTAATATATTTTTAAACTTATTGTAGTAGATCTTTTACATTTATTTTCACGGATCTAATTATATATACAGATTGTATAATTTTTTTTTAATAATATCTATTTATTTTGTTGTCGTAAGTTATTTGCCTCATTTTGTTGTTACTAATTTAACTTATTGTATAGATAATTATATTATTTATTTAATTTGTAGTACATAATATATAGTTACTCCTAACATTTTTTTAAAAATTACTAGGAAGGTATAAATAATTACAAAAGGATAGAAAAGTAGTTCAATTGAGTGGATGCTTCTTCATTTGTTTTATTAATCATGAATTCTTTGTTCACTATCCAAAATATTGATCTGTCCGTTATAAAATACTTGTTATAATTATTATTTCTTGATAATTAAACGATATAAACTTTGGTCAGTACTTCAAGATGTATACTTTTATTATATTAAAGATAACAATTGAAATTTATAGTATTTTTTCTATAATTTTAAAATATTCAAATTTAAGTTTAAGATATTAATTTAATTTAATTTAATTTAATTTTATAAAGTTAGTAAATTAACTTTCGAGAAGCGAAACGTGACAACTATTTCGGTTCGATCAGAGTATG